GAATTTTTCCAAGGATTCGTCTTTGCTTTTAAGCAAATACACATAGCAATAACGTGTGCTATCGTCGATAAACGTGATAAAATATTTATTACCACCTCTCGTTTGTATCGATCTAAAATCGCACAAATCACTATGGATTAATTCTAGTGGTTCAGTTTCCCCTTCAACCGATTTGAAAGGTACTTTCGTTAATTTTGCCTCAACACAAATTTCACATTTGTTATTTGTGTTAATTTGAAAATTAGGAATATGGTCCATGTTAATTAATCTACGTATAGAATTATAATTAACGTGACCTAGTCTACCATGCCACAAATTGGAAGACTCAAGCAAGTAAACGGAATTAACTTTGCTCTTATTCATGATAATAGGCATTACATTGAGCTTAAAAAGCCCATCAGTTATATAACCTTTGCCTACAAACATTCCTAACTTAGACAAAACAACCTTGTCTGACTCGAACACCATGCGAAAGCCATGCTTGTTCAACAGTGAGCCAGACACCAGATTCTTCCTCAGCTCTGGAACATACAGCACGTTGTTCAACGTCAGTTCCTTCCCTGAAGTCATCTTCAGAACCACCTTGCCCACGCCTTCCACAGCAGACTGAGCAGAGTTTCCCATCCAAACCTTCTCGCTCTCGACGGTCTCAAAGGTGTTGAACATTTCTCGGTTGCAACACAAATGCCTTGTTGCACCAGTATCAATGAACCACTCTCGTGGGTTCGAGTCCACGAGGTTCACCTCGGTCACCATAGCCGAAAGGCTAATCTCGACCTCCTTCTGATTGCTTTCCTCAACCATGTTGGCTTCAGAACTCTTGTTCTTCTTCTTTGGAACTTTGCACTCAGAGGACTTGTGGCCAGTCTTGCCACAATTGAAGCATTTTCCATGAAATTTCTTCTTGGTAATGCCTCCTTTCGGACCTAGCTTTTGCTTGTCCTTCTTGTTCTTTTTGGAGTTTTTAGCATGCTCCACAACATTGGCTTTAGCGCCAACAGTGACAGAATTTCTGTCATCATTCGTCCTGTTCCCCTCCTCAATTCGGAGTCGCTGGATCAGGTCCTCCAGGTTCATTTCCTTTCGCTTATGCTTAAGGTAATTCTTGAAGTCCTTCCACCCTGGAGGCAGCAAGTGGATAACAGATCCCACTAGGAAGGCTTCACTCAACGTCATGCCTTCGTCACGGATTTCATCAAAGATTAGTTGTAAATCTTCAACCTGACTTAGCACGGTTTTGGAATCAACCATTTTGAAGTCAAGGAATCGGCCAACCACAAATTTCTTTGCGCCGGCATCCTCACTTCGGTATTTATGATCCAAAGCTTCCCACAGCGCTTTCGCTGTGCCAATCTTGCGATATACATCGTATAACGCATCACATAATCCGTTTAGGATGTAGTTTCGGCATAGGAAGTCTGAATCCTTCCAATAGCCAACTGCCATCACGGATTGGGCATCATGTTCCCTTAATTCGGGAACTTTCTCGGTCAAAAATCTCGCCAAGCCGAGAGTTGCTAGGTAGAACAACATCTTTTGTTGCCACCTTTTGAAATTCGATCCAATACCGGTGAATTTCTCCGGTCTTTCGGCCGAACCACTCGGTACCGTAGGTACCCGAGTCATGGGAATATATCCCTCAGTGCTCCCACCATCTTGTGAACCAACGTTCACTGGTGTAGCCTGGGAATTAGCAACATTATTGCCATTCCCACCACTGTTGTTCTCAACAACATTATCCTCCCCGAGAGCTGGCAAAACTGGATTCGATCTCCATTTCTTCTAGGAAATTAGAGATGAACAATCAACGGGAAACGGATATAAGGTTTTAAGATTGTTGGGTAATATGGTTGAAAATTCCCAAAAATAATAATAATCCTACGGAAAGATTAATATTATATGGGAAAACAGAAAAATTGGGAAGGAAAAGGTTGAGTGTTTGGGTAAAGGTTTAGCACGAGTTCGAACACGAAGTTCTTTTCCTTAAAACCTTATTTGCTACCTCCCACAAGTGCTAGGAGCGTTGTAGCCTAGGTTTCCCAGGATAAAACGTGCTACGATTCCTTGTTTAAGCACCTAAACAAGGAACCCGGCAAACAAAGCAAAGCTGGAACACTGGTTGGCTAAAAGAAGAGAGTAGAGGCAGAGTTTTGAGATGAAAAGCTCCTGGAATTCCTTTTGTTTCTCACTGTGTAAAATGCTACTGCTTCTACCTCTCTTTATATAGGGATGTTGGAGTGATAGCATTCAACATGGCCATTAAATTGGTGTTAAAACCAATTGTGTGACACCTGTAACGGTCACCACTAAGTAGGATTAAACTCAGAATTTAAAAATTGGAATTAAAACAGTATTAATTCCGTAACAGATGAGTTTAATCTGTACAACAGGCTGAACTTTCGGGTTTCAGACCGTTGGGGTGCAGGTTCACACGAGAGCACACGGACCAGCAACACGAGAGATGTTCTCTCGTGTGCACTGTGGTGCAACCCAAGAGTGCACCACTCTCGTGGTCACAGAATGCACGAGAGTTGTGCTCTCGGTGCACCACAGCCTCTCTTGCTCCTCTGTAGCACGAGAGTAGGTCACAGATGCACGAGAGTTGTGCTCTCGGTGCACCACAACCTCTCTTGCTCCTCTGTAGCACGAAGTTAGGCATAACTTAGCCCGCAAGGCCAGCCCATTTCCAGACGACATTCGTGCCCGCGCACGCGAGCTCGGGCTTGATTTCAAGCCTTTTTCATGTCCTCTAGTTGGATTTTGATTTGCACCCCCCCCCCCCCCCCCCCCCCGCGCGAGAGAGCCTCTATGCTATACAATTCTACAAGCTTGAAAAGAGCTCATGTATATAAGGGGGGCAAATCTTGTTTCCAAACCAATGTGGGACAAAGTCCTACATTTTCCCTTCATTTCCCAACTTAAATGGGTCTACTTTGAGAATCACTATCTCATTCACTCATTATCCGTTTTGAGCGTACAATATATCAATCTCTTCGTCTTACTATGAAGAATCCGAATCCACTTTGACCCGACCCAAATCGGAAGTGGACCCCACTGATAATTGTACCACAAAATAGCCACTTAATATGCCATTTTATGCCATTTTAAGCTAATTTTTCCAACATCTTCTTCCTCAAAAGAAGAAGGCAATCTTCTTCCGTTGTTAGTTTCAATAACCAGAGTCCTAATTATCGGCTATTGAATTTATATACACAAAAATGACAAGTTTATATATTCAGAGTTCGTTTAAAAACTCGAAAAATGACTTATGGAATTCATTTTTCATATTTTCCCGTGTTTGAGTATTCAAAGAAAATAAAGTCAAAGAAAAATATTTTTTAGGCGGAAGTGTCAAATAGGCTCATCTACTACTGCGAAGTGTTCAATTTCTACCACGAACTAAATTAAAGTCTAATTAGCTCCACTTACCAGCTAAATTTGTTCGATTGGCTTTTTTTGCAGGTTGCCTGTTAAATTATTAAAAAAACAATAATAATAATAATATAAAAGGAATTTCAGCCGGCTCACCTTCATGCTGAGAATACACACTGCCAGAGCTGTCATGTTGACACCGCGGGAGGAGATGAGCCCAAGTCCGCCAGATTTGCTGCCTTTCTCTATCCTGCCTGGTCTGATGGGGTCTTCGCTGGGAACCGCCGAGGAAGATAGAGAGACGATGTGAGGAAGGGTTCCGCCCAAACTGCTGCGCTAAAACAGGGGATGCTGCCCGTTGCCTCACGCCGGGAGGAGATGGAGACTATGGATGACTTCCACCACTGCCGTTGTTCTGCCTCGCCGGAAACGGACGCCGCCTGTTACTTCGTCGCTGCTGCTTTGCCGAAACAGAGAACGCCGGCGGAAGGGAGACCGAAGCTACTGCTGGTTCGTAGTTCACTGAAGAAGGAGAACTCGCCGGAGAATCAGAGGATGAGCTGCCACTGTTCTGATTCACCGAGCCTCTCTCGTTGCCGCCGCCGTCAAACCTACTGCTGAGCTCTACCAACTATTGCTGTCGCTGCTTTCCCATCTTTGCCGTGCTGAAATTCTTTTTTATTTTTTTATTTTTGCTTTTTAATAATTGACAATCGGTTAGCAAACTGCAAAAAAAAGTCAGTTGAACAAATTTAACTGGTAAGTGTGGCTGATTAGACTTTAATTTAGTTCGTGGTGGGAATTGAACACTTCGCAGTAGTAGATAGCCCTATTTGACACTTCTGCCTATTTTTTTTTGTTAATGAAAAAAATGTCTTCACATGTTTTTAATTGGAAGACATTTTCCATATTATTTATTTACCAGTTTATCTCTTCTCTCTCATATATGTTAAAACTAGTTTACAGATTATTATTATTATAACCACGGCACCATCATCACTATTTATTTATTTATTTATTATTATCATTATTGTTTAACAAGTAATATATTCATTTTCAAGAAAAATGAATCAAATAGAAAAATAAAGTTTATTAACTTTCAGCATAATAGAAATAGAGTTAATTTCACTTTTATTCATATGATTATTAGAGTGTTGTCAATTTCAGTTCACAACTTTCAAAATTAACAATTTAGTAGCTTAACTATTCAAATGTTATCAATTTTAGTCTGTATGATTAAATTATCGGCCAATTGTTAAAATTTTTTATCCACATCCTACATGTCTTTGTATTAATTCAATGGTTCACACATTAACTTTCACTTCAACACTGAATTACAAGATTTTGACCACAATTAGTTGACAATTTACTAATTTAGTCAAACTGACAAAAATTGATAAAAATTAAATAATTAAAATAATAAATTATCAATTTTAAAAATTGTAGACTCAAATTAACAACACCCTAATAATTACAAAACTAAAAGTAAAATTAACTCATAGAAATATATAATTTGTTGACTTTCAATATATACAATTAAACACTAGGAAAATAAAATATATTTTTTTTCAGAAAAATCCCCCGTGCCGAAGAGCAGTACGTACGAATAAATGACGCTAAAACCCTCTCCCTCCTTATTTGTCCGCCTCAACTCTCCCCTAACCCTGAGCCGACTCCAGAGCAGTTATTCACTCATAACTCTCTGCTCAGTCAGCCATGGCGGTGGACAAGAGCAAGCTCGACGAAGAACAGCAATCTTGCATTGTGCGCTTCTACAAGATAGTGCTTAGCTGGGACTACCTCCGCATTCTCAAAGATTCTGAAGTAAGTATATAACCAATTTTTAAAAAATTCAATTTCTAGCTGAATATGTAGGTTTTTGCTCGTTCATCTTGTTTAAAAAAGAATTTCTGGAGCAGAATTACAATAAGAAGAGGGAGAAAGGGGAAGCGTCAGGCGTGAGAGCAGTGAAGGACACCTACAGTGATGTTGATGACTATATTGCAACTTTTGAGCCTCTTATGTTTGAGGAAGTTAAAGCTCAGATTATTCAAGGGAAGAAGGATGATGAGGGAGGTAATGTTTTTAGGTTTGCTTTATCTGTTTCCTTGCCAGTGGGACTGATTTTGAGATTGGTGATTATAGCTGTGAGGTAGAGAGGAAATAGACCAAATTGTTGTTTAAATTGCTAGTTTTGACTTTGCCTAATGTGGCTAAGAGCTGTAATTGGTGTAATTGTATGAATGTCCAAATGTGGAGCTATTCATTGATTGGCATTAGAGAGAAGGATGATTTGAGTCAATGCATTTATACCAGAAGGTTGCTCCTCCCACCTTACTTGAAAGAGGACTTCTTGCTGTTAATTCTGATTATATTAAACCTGGCTTCTAGTCATGGTTTACAGGCACACTATTCAATAAGAAAAAGTTTCTTCTTTCTTTCTGTCGTTCTTTCCTTTTAATTCCACTACACATCAGAAAAAAAAAAAAAAAAAAAAAAAAAGAGCTAGAATTGGAATCTAAAGGTCTTATGGCAATCACATGCATGCCTCTGTTGCCTCCTTGCAGTTTGGAGGAGCCCCAATCCCTGAAATTGAAATTGCATTCCTCGACTCTTCTAGTTTATGTTGATGATGTGCATCTAATTGACATAGGAAAATCTACCTCTATATGTTTGTTATATGTATTCTTTTGGGCATTACAGGAACACAGTGGACTCAGGCTATTGTAGCAGAATGCAATGAACTCAATGGTTTTCACTTGCCAACGATTATATGTGCAGATGTGGAATCAATATCACAGAATGATCTATTGTTACTTTCAAACAAAAAGGTAGCTGTTCATCTGTATTTTACTCATTATCTTGGTTCCCTAGAAAGCCTCTTCTCCTGTAAAGTATATTTTTCATTTTGAAAAAACCAAGCCACTCTTATTGGTAAGTTTAGGGATTCAAGCAATATCTTTTATTCCAAGATTTTTTTTTCCCCTTTCTTTTTGGGTTTTGACAATTTTCTACTGTTGGAGGTTACAATATCTAATTTGTAGTGACTGTCCCTACTATTGCATTTTGCAGTTAGAGGGCAAACCACTCCCAACTGCATATGCATTTGCTTTTGTTGAGCACCGTCAACAAGATAAAATAAAAGTTAGGATGCACTTAAATGGGGAGTACAAACAATACAATACAGACAAGGTTGATGCTTGCCCAAGGCTTTTGAATATGCGGCCTCTTATTAGTGAAATCCAGAAATATTTGTATGTTCTCAAGGTATTTGTTCTAAATCTCTGTTAAACTTTTGCTTTATTAGTATTTGATTTGATTGGCTTGCCTACACTCTAATTCTCTATCTATTAATGTCAATGTGAAATCGGGTTGTCTTCAGTTAATGATTTCACTGCTATTGGAAGTGAAAACATGCGTGTCTGTATTCTTGATCATAGGTCAATGGTCAAATAGGATACATTTTATTGGTACTAGGCTATTAGGGAACCGTAAGAGTATTAAATTGATACGAGGGAAAAGTAACCGAGGACATGGTAAAATGAATTTGTCAAGATTCTTTGTGATGATAATTAAACTGCATATGATGAATTTTCCACCTGCCCACCTAATTAACCTTGATCAGGACATTTTATTCCTCAGTCTTTACTGCCATTCATGTAGTAATTAAATACATAAAAGTTAGCCAAAACTTTTCAGAGTTATTGTTATCATATTATACATGATCATTAGGAAATTGGTGCCAGTACATGAACACGAAAGATAATTTATAGCTTCCATAATCAGGGTTATAAGTGAAATATGAGGGCAGGAAGCCAGAGACAGCAGTACTTGATTGCTGTGCTTTCAAGAAAAGTCTCTTGGGATATAAGGGATTAGGTTCAATTGTTTTTGTGGTTTTCTTGAATGAGGAATGAACTGATAATTCTGAGTGAACAAGTCACCTGCAGAGATGTACCTACATGTGTTGCATCAAATTTTTTATTAGATGAATTCCATACACTAACTAGATACATTAAAAAATACAGAGTAACTAATATTATAACATATAAATTTATTCATGGTTCACATATTTTATTGTCTGCTTCAATTTGCAGATATGCAGTTTGTCAACTATTGCCCGTGAATATGTTGCTCTGTGGTCTATTAGCTCTCTTCCATTTAAGGATTTAATATTATCTGCAGCCGAAAGCAATTCGGATAATGATGATCGAGCATGGAAAATTTCAAAACCTCTGAATGAGTATATTGAAGCCAATCACAATAAATCTCAGCTTGAGGCTATAAATGTGAGTTTCTGAGCAAGCAATAATTCTTCTTTCATCTTTCCTTTCTATTTGCAGCTGACCTTTTCTTACTTTGAAAACTATGATAAAAATATGCTAACTGTGCATTTTGAAATTTGTACTTCAGGTTTAATTCAGTGATTATTTCACTTGACTGTTTGCCTTTTTTGCAGGTAGGCCTTTCACGTAGAACCTTTGTGTTAATACAGGTTTGGTTCATTGTTTTCTCTCTGTTTCTTATCTAAAGTGTCACTATTTTATAACTGGATAAATTTCCAATTTTCTGGAAAAATAGAAAACAGAAAAATGAAAATTGGAGTTTTCTATTCAAAATCAACTGTTTCTAAAGTAGAAAACTGAAAACACTGTTTTCTAACACTATAAAGGAATTTGGAAAACACTTCTTTAATATTTTCCAAAATGTCCAAATGCAAAAAACATATATAACTTCATTTATAATCACCGTTATCATTCTATCTGAATTTCCACCTGACCTAATCTATCTACCCTTACCTTTGCCTACCCCCACTCACTCACCATTTGTCCATTATTACTTACATATGACATATCACCACCATAACCACCACTACCTCTGTTATAGTAATCACATTCTTATACCACCACTACTTGCCTACTTATCCTTACTACCACCTACCTATGTACCACCAACTAGATATTATTGTCACCATTGACATTTGTATTTTTATATGAAAGAAAACAATTAGGCTTTTAATAGATTTCATATTTTATAAATTTTATAAATTATATAATATTTGAATTCGAACATGTTTTCTAGTATTCCAACACAAACTGAAAAAATTGGAAAATTGTAGATGGAAAATGGAAAACAAAAAATTGTAACTAAACATGCCCTGAACGTCTAAAATTTTTTTTTTTTAATAATTTTATCTCTAGTATCTTAAAAGCCGGGGCCAATGAATTGTTAGTGCGCATCTTATCAATTCAAACTTTTGTGAACTCACCTTTTAACAACTTGTTTGTTCCTAGTCCATTTTCTTTGTTCAACTTCTTGGAGAGAAAAACAAAGGAAAAAAGAGGTGGTTAACACGCATATTCTCTTAAGGATTTATTCCTAATTTCATCATTAATAGGATATGGTACTGTGGTTCATGGTTCGTGATTTAGGTAATGATAAAGTTTACACTTGTCCTCTAAAGCAACAAGGCCTTTTTAGGATTCTTCATTTTTTTTTAAAAAAATCTTCTGTTTTTTTTTTTTTTTTTTTTTTTTTTTTAGTATTATTATTATTTTTTAAAGTTAGCTTGTCCAGTATTTTTCCCAAATACAATCAGTTGAGATGTGAACTTTAACAAGAAAGCTTTACTTTAGGGGCCCCCAGGAACAGGAAAAACACAAACTATCCTTGGGCTTCTTAGTGCCATGTTGCATGCTACACCAGCTAAAATACACTCAAACAGGTGAGAATCTTGTTATTGTTGTTTTCTATAATTAAAATTGTGTTTACTGAGAAGCAACTTTTCCTGCTTATTTTAACATAGAATTTGTTAGCATTACAAAATAAACTCCTTCATATGGTGTTTTTTCCTAGTGGTACATATTTTAATACTTTTAATCTAATTTTTTATTGGTGCAGGGGAAAATTGAATACTTTAAAATGTGGACCAGAATTTTCCATCCAGGACAAGTATGTCTATAAATATATATGGTTCTGCACATCTATGAACTTAACCAGTATTTTTCATCTGGTTGAATATTTACAGTGAATATTTAACATGTTTCTGAATATGCATCTGTAGCGATTTTTTAATAATCATGCATATCTTAGAATAACCATAATCTTATATATATATATATATATATATATATATATATATATATATATATATATATATATATATATATATATATATATATATATATATATATATAAAGAAAGTGTTATTGTTTTCCTGTAAAGAAGTAATGTACTTTTTCCCATTTAAAAGTTTTGTATAGTTACATGTAAATTTTCTGGTTAAAAGCTTAGAGATGATAACTAATTGCTTGAGTTGTAGAAAACCTTAACAATGTTGATAATTTCCAGTAAACATCTTGAGCTTTGTAATTCTATTAGTGTACTTTGCTTCCATCTGCCAACCTGTATGTGGTACAGGGAATCCTTCAGAACTGTATGCAAACAAATATCCTTAACTGTTAAAAATAACCAAGCTTCCCATCCGTTCGTTACTATTTTTACCCTTCTTTTGGGTCGATTGGGGAGGATGGAAAATAGAGCCATAGAGATGTTTAAAATATCTATAGAATGTCATATCCTTGCCTTGACAAATTGTTTAGCTCTGTGCCTTGGTTTGCAGTGTATCTCAATGATATCTGTTGGAATATGAGCAGCCTATCTTGGAATATGAGCAGCCTATTCTGCAGGGTTATTTATTATGCTTTTAAGTCTTTGGGAGTTGAATAGTTTTTCCTTGGGAAGACCCTTTATGTCCCTTCCCAATACTTGTTATCTTCCTATATAATGTCCTGTAATGTGTTGTTCTTGGTAAGATGGAATAACAAGAAGATGTTCAGGTTCCTTTTTGCTTCCTTTTCAACAATATCTTGCAGATTGGGTTATTGAGATTCACTAAAATGCATTATTTTATTTATTGTTATTAAATTATAATGTGAAATAATTAAACAATTTCAGATACACACACTGGCTTAGAGCATCTCCATGGTTAGCTGGACTTAACCCTCGAGAACAGGAGATGCCTAAAGATGGAGATGATGGCTTTTTTCCCACAACTGGCAATGAGTTGGTATGTCTTTGGTTCAATCTGTTTATGTTACAAATATAGGCTATCAGTTTTCCCTGACTTCAGCCTTTTGTTTAGAGACCAGAAGTAGTCAACTCCAGTCGCAAGTATCGTGTTCGGGTTCTAATATGTGCTCCATCAAATTCTGCCCTTGATGAGATTGTGCTACGTGTGCTAAATACAGGTAAGCAGATTGTTTTCTATGCCTTCCTAAGATGATAATTTTGATTTTCTGTTTACAGTATTGGTGTAACTTCAATAATCCAGCAAATGGATCAAATTCAAGGCCTATGCCTAATTAAAGTGAGCACTCACCATTGAGATAATCCTTGGACCACCATAAAGTGGTCAAAATATTTATATTTTTGTGTGCATCTGTCTTATTGGATGTTCTATTCTGAAAAAATAATGATTTCCATCATTACCCTCTATTTCTTCTATCTTTTTCTTCTCGTCCTTCCAAATTACCTCAAACTTTTCCAATTTAGAAGAGTCGTGGTCAAGTCTTGAACTTTGTTGAGAATTTAAATGATGTGAAGTTAAAAGTACACTTGCACCTGCTCTATGGTCCTGCATCAGGAACTTGCTTTGGTCATGAATGTACTTCAACCTTGCAACTGTAGAAATCCTCTTTATTTATATGCTTATATGCTGTATTAGTGGTTGTTGCTTTCAGGTATCCGTGACGAAAATGACCATGTATACAATCCTAAAATTGTGCGGATTGGTCTAAAGCCTCATCATTCTGTCCAGGCAGTTTCCATGGATCACATAGTATGTTCCTGGCACTCATCCTTCCCTATTGTGTAGTCTCTATGATTAGTATTCCAATCTTTCATCTGACAGTTTTCTGTAGGTGGAACAAAAAATGGCTGGCATGGACATGCAAAGTACTAGTGATAAACAGAAGCAAGGGGGGACAGGAAAGGATAAAGACAGTATTCGTGCTTCTGTTTTGGAGGAAGCTGTTATTGTATGTATCTTTGGCCCACTATTAAATCTGGAACCAATATCAGCTAGTGATTAATGTTCTATTTACAGGTCTTTTCTACTCTTAGCTTCAGCGGTTCACCTCTCTTTAGTAAATTGAATCATGGTTTTGATGTTGTCATAATAGATGAAGCTGCTCAGGCTGTAAGTACTGCAACCTGTATGGCACTATGGCTTTATGATATTGTTAGCTCTTGCTTATAGTTTCTATTAATTAATATCCTTTGGTATGTGTTGCAACAGGTGGAACCATCAACACTTGTTCCATTGGCCAATGGGTGCAAACAAGTTTTTCTTGTATGTAGATAAATGCATTTGCATACCTTTTTTTCTTCTGTAATTATTATTATTATTATTATTTTTTATCATATGGAGTGCTATTTTTTTGAAATGTGAGATTTTTGCATTATTGGAATACTTGTTTCTTTATTTTTCAATTTTGTATCATATTGTCGTTTTGGATTCAACTTTGAAGAGAATACTCCATTATTCCTTTTAGAGAATTTTCTATTGTCGGATTTCGTAGTGTATTATCCTTCTGTGGTTAGTTATAGCCAACAACTGACACTTTCTTAGACAAGCTTTAGTTCATGAAAATTAATATGAAAACGAACAATATTTGTACTGAAGGTCTGTATTTTTGGGAAACTTTCTTATGTTGGTAGAGGATAAATCTATTGGCTGTTGAGTTTATGTCTCCTTAGAAGTTTGGAAGTCCATTCTAACACTAGGAAAACATATAGCTCTGTATACAAGTAATTCCATATTGGAAGACATCTTTTGTGATGTCAAGGTTGATATCAATCTACTACACTTAAGCTAAATCAATGTGCTGCTGCATTACTTATTACTTATATGTAGAATTGAATTCTGAGGCATCTCATCCTTTTAATATATGTATATTTTTTTCATTTTTATGTTAGGTTGGTGATCCTGTTCAATTGCCAGCTACGGTGATCTCTACTGTTGCTGAAAAACTTGGGTAAAGTAACTTTACGTTTTAACTCTTTTGTGTGTGTGGGTGGGTGGGGGGGGGGGGGGGGTCGTCTGATGGGGAATGAGGGGAGGTGGGCTTTGACAGTTCCAATGCCTAGAAAATTTAATCAACGAAGTATTATTGTTACCTGGTTCTAATGATATTCTGCTGTCATGTTCTCACTCCATGGATATAACAGATATGGCAGAAGTTTGTTTAAAAGACTGCAAAAAGCTGGCTATCCAGTGCAGATGCTGAAGACTCAGTATCGCATGCATCCAGAGGTTTGTTGAGTTTGTTTTTGGAATACTGTGATTTGGTTATAGCTGGTGAACATCAAAATCTCATTTTTGAAGTAGACATTCACACATACACATACACATTTTCTATGGCCGTCTTACTTTTATCTAATTAATAATGAAGATAAGGACCTTTCCTTCAAGAGAATTTTATGACGAGGCATTAGAAGATGGACCTGATGTCGAAGAGCAAACGAAGCGCGCATGGCATAATTATCGCTGCTTTGGGCCCTTTTGCTTTTTTGACATACACGAGGGGAAAGAAACCCAGCCCTCAGGAAGTGGCTCTTGGGTGAATGAAGACGAGGTGGAGTTTGTACTTCTAATTTATCGTGAGTTGGTGACTAGATATCCAGAACTTAAGTCAAGCTCCAAGCTCGCAATTATATCCCCATACAGGCATCAAGTCAAGCTTATACGCAAAAAGTTTCGTGAGACATTTGGATTAGAGTCGGAAAAAGTTGTTGATGTCAACACAGTTGATGGATTCCAGGTATCAGCTTCATATCTCCTTAAATTTGCATGAATGTTTTGATGTCCCTCATTATCTGCTCAAATTAGATTCAAGCATATAATCTCTGTCGTGATCTATATATTATTTGTTATCGGGTGAAGTAAATTATTCTATATCTTCTAACAGGGACGTGAAAAAGATGTTGCAATCTTCTCATGTGTCCGGTCGAATAAAGATAGAGGTATTGGATTTGTGGCTGATTTCCGGCGAATGAACGTTGGCATCACTAGGGCTAGGGCCTCAGTCTTGGTATAATAGCTTTATACAAATTATTCGGGTGCAAGATCTTGACATTCACATGACATATACCATCATTTACTAGCCTGTTCTTTTTTTAGGTTGTAGGTTCTGCATCAACATTAAAAAGAGGAGACAAACATTGGAAAAACCTGATTGAAAGCGCAGAGCAGAGAAATGCACTTTTCAAGGTAAGCAAACTACTCGAAACTTCTCCACTGCATTCTATCAATCCAAACTCCAAAATCCACCGAAATTGTTGGATTTTTCTTCTTATTCTTCTTCAACAAATAACATACTGATTAAACCTATCTGGATTTCCTGCTCTCCCGTCTCTCTTTCTATGGAGTTCAGTTGCCACTCGAAGCATAGCCAGTTGTGTGGCTGATTTGCAGTTTATCCTTGAAAACTCACATCTTTTAACCATCTTTCCCGTTAGGTCACCAAGCCATACAATGATCTTTTCACCAACGAGAAGCTGAAGACGACGTGGTCTAGAGACTCTGCCCAACAAGGGATGCCGGAGGCACATACAGGCGATATGGATACCGAAATACCTGTCGAGACTACTGCTGTCGATGCTGATCAAGAGCAAGGAGAAGAACCCGAGTGGGGAGATGGTGGAGATGAAGGCATGGATGGCGGTGGCGAGGACTAAGGTGACAAGTATGCCCCCAGCATTACTTCACTATACCACAAGATAGGATATTATGAACTCAATTTGCAGTATATTTTTGGACCAACCTATCAATACATTCCCAATATTATATTTATTCTTGACCAAACCGAAAATCTCTCTCGATATGACATGTACTATATAATATTTTGAGTACTGCTGACTGGTTACATTGTAGTATCTGTTCAAACATATTTTCTTAACCTAGTAAAGCACAAAGAATCAATACCGTCACATTGGGATCTGAACCTATGACCTCTCATTTGAGAGCCACTTCATGCTACTCGATCACATGTACTATATATTGTCGGAATTATTTATATCATTTTTGGTAAATTTAATAATGGTGATTGTTCGAGCCATACGTGTTATGCTGTATAATATATATTCAGTATACGAATAATGTACTTTTAATATATTAAAAATGTATTTTTTTTTATTATGATCTATATAGCACTGTGTAGATCATGGTCTACACAATAATTTGCCAAGCAAGTTGGTATGGATTTTACACACCAGCACACGACCTTTTTTCTGCAACTATTGCAGATGCTCTTAGTTGGGTTTGCAAGTTTTTGATGATCAGCTTGATGGGATTGGATTTGTATTTTTGCAAGTTTTTAATGATCAGCTTGATGGGATTGGAATCATTGGATTGATTCAATACAATATGAGTTGCCTAACTTGTTTGGCACTTTGGCATAGATTATCATCATCTTTTGAAATTATATTTGTTTTCGTTGTATTAAAAAGATCTGTAAATTATATATCCAAACAGAACAGAGTTGAAAGTTAAAGATTTGACCATAAACAAACATCAAATAAAATCTTTTCTACTTCCACATCATAGGCATTAAAAGTTTTGAATCCCACCAATTGCTATCTCAAAATGTTCTTCCAAACAGCGATAGCAATTGCTGGATGACAAAACAACACAACACAGTCATAGGTTTATGTTTCTCACTGTCAGGTGGTAACCAAACCAATTCAGAATGCTATGAATGAGCATTGGCCAAGAACTCGAGACCCTCGGCACGACAGCTTCTGATTTTTCTGAACACCTCCCTCAGTTGGTGTTCTAGCGGTCCAAGTTCCGTCTGGTAAGTTTTGGACACCCGCGATAGTGTCTCCACGCTTTCCCTCATGTCTTCCTTGTGTTCCTCGGAGAGTGGGAGCTGGGGAGAATCGATCAGCTCGGTTAAGCGGTGGACGCCCTTTTCGACCAGATGGGTTTCCCTTAGTAGTCCGTTGGAGCTTCTACCGCGCTTCTTGGACTCTTCCGTTATCCGGGAATGCAGCGTCTGGAGCGAACGGCTCCACGGGAAGAGGGTCGGGATGGTGATGTTGGTCTGGAGGCCGCGGTCTTGGCAGGGGATGGCAGCAACGACGGCCCATAGGACGAACAAAAGGACGTGGCTCATTGTGAACACGAGCGTGGCTAGACCGTTAGTAGCAGCATTAGGAAGGGCTAATCCGTTGGCGATTAGCTGGAGCTGCTTGGAGGCGGACCAGGAGGGCGAAACGCTCCACGAGAGAGACCTCGAGTGCCTCGGTGAATCTTTAGTCCTGTTGTGGTGTCCAAAAGACCGGTTTCGGATCGAAAAGACCGACCCCCCCGTGTCCTTTTCGTCTAGCATATCTAGACTCAAATCCATCAGGGCTTTTCTTGCTCGACGCATTCTTTGTTGAGGAGGATCCAATGCAGAAACCACGATCTCCAAATGCCTTTGCCACGAACGAATCTTCTGAACCCCATCTCGGGTCGCATTGCATATATCCAGCGCCTTAATGTTCATATCGAAATAATCCGAGAGAATCTTGTCTTGAGGCTGCTTCGAGACGAACTCTTTGCTGCTGCTTAAAACCGCCCTAAACTCGTCCTGACAATCCCCAAACGCATCCAACAACTTTCTCACCCACGAAACCGAGAGGAACTCTTCCCCATTCGCCACCGAGAGGTCAGAAAACCGAGATGAAACTAGTCTTTGAAACGACCTTAACTCCGAGCCTTGGCTACTAGACCCCCCTTGCTCATTTTCCACCGAGTGTATCTGAATCTGATCACTTCTGATAGTAAAAATCCCTCGACGAAACGAAGGGAAAGGAATACGAGACGAAAAGCCCTGATTTTCTGAAGAGGGCATTGTCACACAATGTTAAACCCCTTCAGAATCTGAATTATCACTCAATTCAACATAACCACACAACCGCAAATCAGTCAAATGATGATGACAATGTCGAACCTCTTCAGAATCCGAGAATTACACTCAATTCAACACATCACCATCAACAACACCAATCTTGAACCAACACAGGAAACAAAAACCACAAATCAGTCAAATGAAAACCTCAAAAACCGAAAAGAGAGTAAGAAAACCAAAGAAACAACCTATCAAAATAGGGAACTGGCCAAGCTGTTAGTTTGGTAACCACAAGGTTCCAAGTTTGACTCTCGGTGAGAGCAGCCTTCTTGGTTTGAGCCGACCAACTCTGAGCAACCTAAGTTGATTTACCTCCTTTCGGACCTTCAACACGACTAGGTTTACCCAGTTCACACACTCGGGCCGGGGACTAAGACACAATGTTAAAGTTTATCCATTGCATACCCTCAGATAGTGATTGCAGGTTTTTCTCGTCACCCAAAATGGGGGAGTTTCCCCTTCCCAAATCCCAAATCCCAAATCCCAATCCAACCCAGATTCACACAACACAAGAAAATGAACCTCAAATCAACAAACTTCACAGTTCACAGAGCTATGAACTAACCCCATCATCTATATTGAATTCAGACAGACATGGGAAAACAAAACAGTTCTCAAAAACATAAAACAAAGGCTCAAATCAAAACCCCAAAATCAAGAAAACCTAATCCGAAAAGTTCCATCCATTCTAAGAAAACAAAAACCGTATCTTGTCACCAAAGACGTGGTATTCCACGAAAACAAATTCAGAAACGCTTAATGTATTGGGAACATAAAAAAAAAAAGCTTTTACTTTACCTTAGAAAGCAGAATGGATATTACATCTGCCCCTCGGAAGCGACGAGGAGCCCATACGCAACCTAGCGAAGAAAGCAAACCCCACCATCTTTTTGGTCGGGGAAATTCGTAGGAGGAAAAACGGAGGCGTGTTTGAGAAGATAGAAGAAAAAACAAAAAAACACAAAAACCGAAATCTAAAACAAAACATTACCTGGAGACAGTACAGAATAAATAAATCGGCGATTATTTGTGTTTGTTCGGTTGTTCACTTGTATGTTCTCCCTGTACATAGGAATTTTGTCGTTTTCTTTTTTTTTTTTTATAACTCCCGACAATTCAACTCACTCTATCACATTTTATCTGTCTTACTTACGGTCAAATAAAAAAAAATTTCTTTATTTATTTTCTTTAGTATTTTTTAATTATTTTAAAATTTAATTTTTTGTGTTTAATAGTACTTTTAGTGTAGTTTATAAATATATACATTTTGCATACTAATACTAAACTTAATATTATGAAAGATTGGGTTAAGAATAACTTCAGTTAAGTCTCGTTAACCGAACCAAATAGATAAAATGGGACGGAGGTACTAATTATAAAGGAAAAAAGGTGGATTTTAATCTTAAACGACATATAAATCGTGTATTTTTTTTTAAACTAAAAAAAATTATGTATTTTTAGTATTGAAATTGTGAACTTCTAAAATATAGATTGTGTTTCTAAGTCAAAACACATCACAACTGTAGAAAGAAATTTGTGAATACAATATAGAGTCATCAAATCCTAATATGTTAATATTGTGTGACTGCAATATTTGGAAATAACTTGTGAGTACAAAACAAGGTAATCAACTATATATGTTAATCTTGCGTGTTCGTAGTATACAAATTGTGAATTTTTAAAAGGTAAACTGTGAACATTTGGAAATAGGTCCATAGAATAATTTGCGAAAATGGAGAGTCTGGTCCCTATGTTATTATTGTGTCCATTTTTATTGCCTAGATTAGGAATGAAGTGGCAAGTTTGATCCCTGACGTGAATAATGTGTTGACAAAGTTAATTATAAAGGTAAAGAAGTAAATTCTCTAATAAAATTTGTATGCAATATAACATGTTTCTCCCATTTTCTTCTTTTATAGACTTAGTCAAAATACTTTCCTCATAAATCAATAAAAGCCCTAAATTGGATGCCACCACCAAATCTCATGCAACACTTTTTTTCAAATTGGAACTTATTGCCACCTCCAATTTGCTTTAGAAACTTCACTTCCATGACCTCTAAGCTAAGTTTTTGGATTTCAATTTCTTTCTTCTCATTTGTGTACACATTCATATCAACACATCTAAAAAATCCATAACTCTCATTTTTATGAAAAATCAAATATCAATATTTCAATTATATTTATAAAAAAGAACTTGAATTATAATTTGTTGACAAATATAAAAACTTACTCCATAACATGGACAAATTAGGTATCTTTTCTCCGGGTTAGCATAACTCCATGACATTTTAATGGGTAATAAATCACCATACTTACATAAAAAATTATCCCCAATTTCAGATAAAGATGAAGTACAACAACTAAGAGATGACATCTTATAATTAATGGCTAAATTAGACCATCAATACAGAGAAATATTGATTATTTACTTAAACATATAAAATAGATAAACAACTTACCTGTGAATTTTGTTGCTTGAAAGTGGAAGAATTTGATATTTCAGAGCTTGGGGAAGAAGAAGATCTTCAATTGTATGTATAAGAAGAAAAAATGATTGTTGTGCAATGTGTTTAAACATAAAAAGAGGATTATAATTTAAAATTTTTATTTCATCCTCTATTATTAAATTGTTTTTTAGTTTTCCATTAGTTGCATATAGAATACTAACGTCAGGGACCAAACTTCTCACTTTGCTCATAACCGATAAACTAAACTTGAATACAGTCATAACTTAGGGATTGAACTAGAACTTGGTTATAACTTATAAATCAAAAACTAAAAATGCAAATTTTCCATTATAAAATTTTAAGATCAATTCTACATAAGATTTTTACTATCTGCATTCTTGATTAAATTGATAAGCTATAATAATCTAATTTATAATTTTTTGTCAACTAAAAACCTTAGTCGATAAGGAACAACCTTCCGTTTAATAAGAAATTTTGTCATTTTGTTGTTTGAGCGGGTTTAATTTCACTAGTTCAATAGGTAATATTTGAAAGAAGAAATCAGATTTAAATCTTGACAGAGACAATATAAAAATTATGTCTAAAGTGGACAGATCCTTGAAGATTCAACCATTTAAAAGAAGGAATTTTGTCCCTTCAAAAAAAAAGAAAGAATTTTGTCATTTTGTTTTAAATTATTCTTTTCCTTTGATATGTTGTCGTGTTGGTCATTTTGTGGACAAATGCAACCTTTTAACTTGACCACAACTTTGACCTTCCATTTTTAAATGTTTTCTTTTTAAAATTTATGTTAAAAAAATAGCATAAATTAGTATTTTAAATGATATTTTGAGATACTAGTATTTGCGCCCGTGCGATGCACGGAATGAATTTGTTTTAATATATTAAGAATATATGAATTGATATATAATTATTTAAATTAGAACATCAAATATTATATAATGCAATTAAAGATATCCTTTGGATCGTTTATATATTTTGATGTTATTATTGCTTGATTTTGTGCAAATAATTGCTCAAATTAATAGCTAATGTGTAGTCAATTATTCTTTTTTATTTTCAGTCAATTAGAATATAGATACAATGATATTTTTACATAATTTTCGTTCCATTTTAATTTGATGATGTAGAATATTATTATTGAAATATTTTCGTTTCATTTTTAATTTACCTTTATTATTTTTTAAAATATGCATTTACTATTTGATGATGTAAAATATTATTATTGAAATATTCTCTTTACTTCTCAAAAAAAAAAAAAAAAAAACACTTTGGAAGAGGAGCATTGCTCCTCAGAGGAGCTCAAGAGCTCACATTTTCAAACATTTTCAATGTGAGATCAAAATGATTCCACATCATTTACAAAGGGAGCCCGTGGCTCCATTTTGTCTTCTTCTTCCTATTATTATTTTTTAATTTTATTTTATATATCGTTTTGTTTGGATTATTATTATTATTATTATTATTATTTGATTATTGACAAATTCGTCATTTTAACAATTTATCTTTAATCAAAACACCAAAAATATTATTTAATAACTCAGTAAGTTGCTCCAAACTGCTAAAAAAAACTAAAACAACGCATACATTTTGGATTAATCTTTCCCAACCCCCACTAATAATAAATAATAAATAATAAATAAATAACTAACTAAAATAAGAAGACAAAACTAATGTTTCTTAAATAAAAACCTTTTGACTTCATAATACTTGCTATATTGATGGGCAAAAAAATATGTATGTACCTCTTATATAGAGGAGCTCAAAAGCGCGTCTTTTCAAACATTTCCAATGTGGGATCAAAATGATCCCAAATCATTTACAAAGGGAGCCCGTGACTCCCCTTTGTCTTTTTTTTTTTTTTGTTAATTTTAATTTTATTTTGTATATAGTTTTGTTTGGATTATTATTAATATTAATATTAATATTAATAATAATAATAATAATAATAATAATAATAATAATATTATTATTATTATTATTATTATTATTATTATTATTATTATTATTATTATTATTATTATTATTATTATTATTACTACTACTACTGTTGTTGTTGTAATTTGATTATTTGGCAAATTTACCAAAATTTTAAGAAATTCAGTTGTTTAACCTTTTATATTTAATCAAAACACTAAAAATAGTATTTAATAACTTAGCAATTTGCTCCAAACTGCTAAAAACTAAAACAACTCATATGCATTTTGGGTTAATCTTTCTCAAACCCCCTAATAAATTAAATTTTTTTTTTTTAAAAAAAAAACTAAAATAAGAAGCCATTAAAATAAGGTTTCTTAAATAAGAGCCTTTTGACACGTTGGACTTCAATAGGTTGAGAAAGTTTACATGTAATAGGGTCAATCGAATAGTCAATAGTTATGCTGTGCAACCGAATGTACCATGCGCATGGTGCATACGATGCAAAACGACGTCGTTTTGACTTAAAACGCGCGTCCCACTTTAAAAAAAAAAAATTATGGTTCGATTCTCGGCAATAGCATTATTGTGGATATATAGTTATGAATTTCTGGATATATAGTTATAAATTTGTGGATATATAGTTATGAATTTATGGATATTTAGTTCATTCATTGTGGATATTTAGTTCATTCATTGTAGATATTTACTTCATTCATTCACTGTGGATATATAGTTATGAATTTATGGATATATAGTTATGAATTTCTGGATATATAGTTATGAATTTCTGGATATATAAAAATGCTATTGCCGGGAATCGAACCTAATTTCTTCTTTAAGTGGGACGCGCGTTTTTTTAACCAAAACGGCGCCGTTTTGCAACCGTATGCACCTTGCAAGGTGCATTCGGTTGCACAGCATAATTTGCGTCGAATAGTTATGCGGTGTAACTGTGTCCACCTTGCAAGGTGGACACAGTTCTACGTTCATAATTACTGAACTATATGTTCATTATTATAAAGCTATAAATTCATAATTTTTGAACTTCTTATTTATAATTATTGAACTCTATATTAATAATTGCAGAACTATATGCTCATAGTTACTAAATTATATGTTCATAATTGGTAGGGAATATCCCGACCGACATAGCTCCACCCCGACCGAGAAGCCTTTGTCTTTTTCTCTTTGTCTTTGCAGGTAACAGGTCGGGCTCCTTGTGAAGAACCCGGTCGGGGGCCGACCGGGAGTTGCCCGAGCGACGGTGTCGACCGCCGAGCGATAGCCCTTTGGCGAGAGAGCTGACGAAAGACACGTGGCGACTCTCTACGACGACAGACAGGGCACCCGGGAGGATGACACGTGGTGGCTACATGGAGGACATGCCGAACGGCTGGAATCCTGTCCCCGGCATAGCGGCTATAAATACCCACAGTAGCTACAATGTAGGGGACTTTTGGACGATCGATAGGTTGTTGTTAGAGAATCCCGACCGTAGTCAGTCGGTACTCAGAACAACCAAGTAGATTGTACTTAGGGCCTTTACCGTGATCAATAAAGACATTTATTT